AGCAGACTTAGTCAGCCTGTGGTGCCCTAACAATAACCCAAGTCCTTGTCAGTGGTCAGACCCTAGCTGCTCACTGTAGCACAGTGATTTAGTCAGCCTGTGTTGCCCTAACAGATGATCTCCTGGATGAGCAGCAGCAGGCTTCTTGGCGGATTAGCATGTGCAAATCCAATCAGTTGAGCCCTGCCCAGATGCAGGATCACAAGTCAGCCTTTGAGCTGAAAGCTCCTTGAGTTATGTCTGAAATGGTTAGCAATCTTCACTTTGCAATCACTCATCTGATCCTCTTCTAGTTCTGGAAGGTCATCAAATCTTTTGTCCTGGTCAAGGAGGACACTGACATGAATAACCCTTCCCGCTGTGGCAAGCATGCTGTCACCCCTCATGTTGATCTTGGCAATAAGATGGACCTCTGCATCCAAGCTGGTTGTGAGCCTTTTGCATTTATGGTGGATCTGGCATGCCCGAAGTTCAAAGTATGAAGCCTCCCTGCATGCATTATGCAAGAGCAGGTTCTCAAGTTGACCAATGAAGAAAGCAGGTGGATTCATGCCAGCCTCAGTGGGTGATTTTCAATCTCAGAGTGCTTGCAGGGAGATCAGCTGGGATTGTTCTTCATGGACAATAGGACTCACAGCTTATTACACCAACTATCTACTATAGATCACCCCTGCTCTGTGTAGACCTCATTAGCTAGCATGATCAAACATTATGGGCAATATTCCAACAAGACATATTGTCTTGTTGCACATAGGACTCAAAAGTGAACAAAAGGACATACCTTTGATAGCACAGTTGTTATCCACAGCTTTCTCCCCCCCTCAACCTCTACTGTGGCTTTTGCAACTACCCCTCCCACACATGGCACCTCTATTATAGTGCTTGGTCCATATTCTGGGTCTTCTTTTAAGTACTTGCCATACTGCCAGCACCCTATCTCCAGCTCTCAACTGACACCAATGTTAGTGCTTGTCCAATATATAGGTTGGGGATTATGGTACCTACAATGGTCTGTACATGTCAATGAGATGGGTGGGCTGTTTGATGGGTTTGAGCCATGGAATGAGCACTAGGAGCCTTGCATGGTCTTGATGGTGCCTGAAGATATGATAAAGCTCCCCAGCCCACGAAATTCCTCTTTCCAAGCACATGAGGATTAACATGTGTGCTGCACATTTGAGTTTTGAGCTTGAATCCAATGTTCAAACACCTCTTCAAATGACATCTCAAACTCAGCCAGATCAGACTATTGGAAGCAAGAAGTGGACCCTAGAACATAGCATTAGGTAATGTAGATTAGACATAGCTTAGTAGTAGTCTGAAGGTCTGAACTGCTCCAAACATATATAAACAGATTTGGATACTGTAGATAGGGACTCTGGGACTCCTTTCCTACTACCCACTACTGCACTCATTCAAGATGGGTGTTCCTCTAACTTACAACTAATACTACTGCTTTACTTTAAAGACACTCCTTGCTCTAGCTCCTTCCTAGACTGATCCGAGCCTCAATTTGACCCCTTCAACTTTTGAATACCTCTTGTTCACCTCACTTGTCCTGTTCCACTCTTCTTCTCTTGTTTGGGCACCCTTCAGATTGCTGCGTCCAGCTTTGGAGACCACACAGGACCTTGGGACTGGTATTTGAGCAGCTCTACCTTAGGAGTCAAGGATCCAATTAGGCTTGTTGTATCTAGTGCTACCTGCTACAAGTACGGGCCATCACTGTTGACTCCCCCTCCAGCGGACCTTCTCCTGATGCCTCATCAGGAGGTGTAGAGTACATTTGGCAACTGACATAGGACTTTTCAAAAAAATTCTGGTTGGGGAGAAAACTTGGGGTTTTCACTTGCAGATTGAGCAGTCTGCCTAAGCAACCATCAAACTGACCACCCAAAGCAGGGCACAGTTCTGAAATCAGAAACTACAACCTCGGCCCTCAGAGTCAACCCCTGCCTGCTCTAAAAATCTGCCTCCATCAGAAAGCTTATCTGACTCATCCAGCAGCCCAAGGCAGACACCATCTACGACTATGGAATCAATCTCAGAAGAAGTCCAACCCACAAGCCTACCCTCAGACATCAAGTTGCTCTTGAAAACCTCACAATCACCATGCCGGATCCAGTGATGCCACTTCAAACAAGCAAGCACACTCCAACACTGCTCTCAGCTCAACCAGAACATGTCATCAGATTTCTCGACAACATGCAACAACTGTGCAAAAGTTGCAAGGTTCTGCAAGAGCAATGGGTAGAATACTGCCTCAAATATGTTGACATGGAAGTTTTTCAAGTATGGGATATGGCAGAAGAAGGTCATGCAGAGAGTCTGAAGTACAATGAGTTCCCAAAGCAGATTCTAGCTTTCTACCCAGGAGCTATGGATTTGAGCTGTCTATATTCAAGACTCAACTTAGAAAAGCTCATTTCAAAGAGTGCAGCCATTCCCAGGGATAGCAGGGCTCAGCTTGGAGAATACCAATGGCAGTTTTGAGAGTATCCCAGTGGCTGGTTTGGAAGGACTACCTCTCGAAGACCAAGCAACAACAGATGTTCATGTGAGGATTCCACTACAAATTTCAGGAGAAACTTCAATCAAGGCTCCTCTCAAAATACCCTGATTCCGTGCTTGATGATCCTTGGCCCTTGGACAATGCAGTTAAGATGGCTGCACTCCTATTGGCAAACACCCTGGCAAGTGGAGAGATTATTTGTCTCAGGCCTGGAATGGTGGCTGTTTTGGTCAAATTGGAAACAGAAGCAGCTCTAGCTCAAATTGAGAATTCAATTCCAAACATCAAGGCAGAAGTGAACCTGAACATGCAGGAATGCATGCTAGAGGCACTTACCAGGCTCAAGGAGAAGTTCAAAATGATGGCAACCAGGGCAATGTACAATACAAACCATTTGAACGACCAGTACCAGAATTTGAATCATAGGCGAGGTGGGAATCAAACTTTGAACAATGACAGGAATGGCCAGAACAGATGCCTATGGTGCAGAGCACCGGACCACTTCATGAGGGAGTGTTCTCTTCTTGAGGAGAGCCTTTGAACCGGTTATGTTATGCCGAACTTGCAGAATAAGATCACTCTTCTGGATGGAGTGCTGATTCCATTGTGGCCTTCCAGGGCACTGAGGGACCGTGTTTGTGCATGGTATGCCAGGAATGTGCCAGCTGCCACAAAAGAGGCCCCAGCTGCGGATACTCAACCAGCCCCAGTTCACATTGTCTAGGTGTTCACAGGAGCCAATGACTTCCTCAGCTTTTCAAAACTGTCATGAGGTTCAGAAGTGAACATGATGGAATCAGCATTGGCAGCATGGGAAGCAGAACTACAGTCAATCATAACATCCCTTGAAACCAGGCTCAAAGAGGCAACTCGGAAACAGGAAGCATACCAAACTGAACCTTATGTTCTGAAGGGCAAAGGGCAAATGGTTGAAATGGAACTACAGGAATTGGAACAGGACACTACACAGGAGGAAGGGCCATCCCATTCAAAGGACCTTCCCAAGGTGGTCAAAAAGGAAATGGACAAGGACATCCACCCTCAAATGCAGTTCTGAGCTCTTGCAGAAAACAATATGATGGTTGAAATGGCTATTTCAAATATAATGAAAAGCCAGGTAACAGTGTCTCTTGAAGAAGCAATGGCCATGTCCCCTCAGATTCGGAAACATCTGTTCCAGCAGATGCAGTCTTGGAAAGTACCTCAAACGGCACCTGTATGAAACACAATGGCCACTATTGAGAAGATTCCAGCTGGAGCAGAGCCAGTAATGCATATGGAGGAGCACAAAAAGCCAACATTTCCTAGAGGTATTATTGCAGCTCCAGAGGTTGTTGGATTGAGAGACGTTTCAGTCAAACTTGGAGATACTGGGTTTTGAACTCTTGGCTGCCTTGATTTGGGATGCTTGCTCATCATTATGCACCACATGGTCTGGCATCACATGGGCTTGGTTTACACTCCTATGGAAAAGGTTCAGATGAGGTTGGCAAATGTAAGCATTAGTAGCACACTGGGATGTGTTCAAAATCTCCGGATAATGGTTGGAAACATCTCCAGACTATTCCAGGTGCATGTCGCCACTATGTTACCAGTTGGACTGCTCCTCGGAAGGCCATTCCTCACCCTGTTCAAGTGTTTGACTCAAGATTTTGAAGATGGGTACCAGTAGATTACCTTCACCTGTCCTACTATGTCAAAGACCGCTGTTGTCACAACTTGTTTGTTGAACCTGCATGCATCTGAAAATTTTCAAGAGTCAAGGAACTGAGTTACACTCGGAGAGACTCCCCTCACAATAGACTTATCATGATGACTCCAAAGCTGAAAGAGCCAGCATGGCAATTTCAAAACTCAAAGGTCAAATCAATACCTGACATCCTGGCCATATGTTACATCAATTTGGAAATTCTAAACTGGCAGTACCAGTACAACCCATACTTCCACAAGCTCCTCTCTCATGCCTACCCCCCAATCCAAGCTCTCACCATTTGAAAATATAAGAAAGTGGCTGACTGTATCAAGCCAGTACCTGCTGCACACCCCAAAGAACTGAAGATAAACTGTCATTTCCTGTCCAATCTGTTAGACCAGTTAGAACCATTACCAGTCCGACTGCCTGATTTTGTTCCAGGCGCTTGGCTTACAAAAGAGCATTTTGAAGTGCTCAAAATCAACAAGTTGAAATTCCTTCTCCCCAAAGAGGAGAAGCTCGCAGCCTGGGTGCTGAAAAAGCACAAATATGCATTTTTGTGGGCCGAGTCAGAAATTGGATGATTTTGAGCTGACTATTTTGATCCAGTTATTTTTCCAACAGTTGAGCATGTTCCGTGGCAGGAATGGAATATTCCAGTGCTGCCCGCCCTTATGGAAGATGTGATTAAAGTTCTCTGCGCCAAGGTAGCCACAGGCACCTTTGAATGCTCTCAGTCCACATATTGATCTCGCTGGTTTGTCATTCAAAAGAAGAATGGAGAACTGTGGCCCCTCATAGATGCCTGGCCCTTAAACCAAGTCATGATATGAAGCAGCACAGTTCCCCCATTGACAGAACACATCCTGGAAGACTTTGGATCAAGAAGATGCTATGGACTTCTAGACTTCTTTCAAGGATTCAAACAGCACCCTGTCACTTTGAGTTCAAGGGACTACACTTTGTTTCAGTCTCCCATTGGCCCACTCTGGTATACCATTGCACCCATGGGCACCCACAACATGCCAGGCATCATGCAGAACAACATCAACTTCATTTTCCAGGACAAAATTCCTCACCTGACCACCCCGTTCATTGACAATATCGGAGTAAAAAGCCCCAAGACTTGATATGAAAAGGCCAACAGAGCATTTGAAACAATCCCAGGCAATCCCGGCATTCAACATTTTGTTTTTGAACACCTCAGCAACATGCACCAAATCATCCAGCAAGCCAAACATGCGGGAGGAACCTTCTCCAGACCAAAAGTACAATTGTGAGTCCTGGAAATCATACTCCTTGGCTACAGGTGTTGCTATGAAGGCCAAGCTCCAGACCTGTCAAAAGTTCAAAAACTTACCAAATGGAAGCTGCCATGTGAAAACCTCTCGGAATTCAGGGCATTCCTTGGCACAGTAGGCATCATTCAAATTTTCATTGAAGGATTTGCTAGGAAGGCACACCCACTGGAATGTCTGAAATGCAAAGGTGTGCCATTTGAATTCGGACTGGAACAATACAAGGCAGTTTGAGTTCTACAGGAATTGGCAATTGCAGTGGAAATGAACAACATCCTCAAGCCCATCGGCTATAAGAGCAACTGGCATATTACCTTAGCAGTTGACTCTTTGAACATCAGAACTGGTTTTGTTTTGTATCAGAATGATGAGAAAGGAAAGCGCTGTCTGTCACAATTCGGATTGATCAACTGGAACAAAGTCAAAAGCAAGTACTTGCAGCTGAAGCTCAAACTGTATGGTCTCTACCAAGCATTAAAGGGGTTTCAAATCTGGCTTGTAGGTGTTCCGAATTTTGATGTTGAGGTTGATGTAAAATACATCCAAGGAATGTTGAACCACCCAGACATACAGCCAAGCATCATTCTGAACCAGTGGAGCCATTGGATCCATCTTTTCAATTTCAAACTCCACCATGTCCCGGCGGAACAACATACTGCACTGGATGACCTTTCAAGATGACCTGTGGCCTGCCAATCTGATATCAATGACTGTTTCCCCAAATTCAAAGATGACAACACCCTCAGCCTGTCTTACACATTCATATTGGACCAGTCCCTTTGAAGCCCTGTTCCAAATTTTTTGAACCCCCCAGAAGAGGTGTTACCTAGGCTCAAGAAGACAAAGGAGGTAGATGACAAGATCCTAGTGATTTGACCATACCTGAGGAACTTTCAAAGACCTCAAAGCCTAATGGATGCACAGTGGAAGTTGTTTCTAGAAAAAATGTTGCATTACTTCCTTGAAGGCCAGGATGACTCATACAAATGGGACAAAAACAGAGAACATTGGCTCTATATTGAATTCAAAAAGAGGATTAATGTCCTTTGGAACATGCACAATGAGATCAGACACAGGGGCTTTTGAATGGTATACAACCATATTTGACTTTGATTCTTCTGGCCAAACCTGATGGAGGATATAAAATGGTACTTAAGGACATGCAATGAATGCCAACAACAACAGATGAGACACATAGTTATTCTGCCCATGGTACAGACTCTGCAACCACTATTCTTTCAGGCTCACTGTGACATGATGTTCATGCCGCCCTCAAAAAGTTGATACTGAGGAATGAGGTACATTCTGCAAGCTCAGTGTTTGCTCATGCATTGGCTGGGGGACATGATCTGCCAGAAGGAAACAGCCAAGGTCATAGAGGACTTCATCCACAAGAACATCCTCTGTTGTTGGGGTGCTATCAGCAAAATTGTCATGGATAATGGTTCTCCCTGGATCAGTGCTATGAATGCCCTAAAGGAAAAGTACCACTTGAACCACATTTGAATTTTGAGCTACAATTGGAGGGCAAACAGAACCGTCAAACAGAGTCATTGTACAGTTCGAGAATCATATTCATTTGATGTTCAAAGACAAGTCAAAATGGCCCAAAGTGGTTCCAGCTGTATTCTGGGCACAACAAATATGTATTCACAGTGCTACAGGAATGAGTCCTTTTTACATGACTCTTGGAATTCACCCCCTTCTGCTAATGGACATTATAGAGGCAACTTGGCTAGCTCCGCCCCTGGATCAACTCCTGTCACATGCAGACTTAGTGGCATTCTGCACTCAACAACTCCTGAAGAGACCAGAGGACTTAGCGGGAATCAAAAGGAGGATTTTGAAAGCTTGATATGTGAATGCAGAAAGGTTTCAAAAATGATTCAAGAACCTGATGTACAACCATGACTTCAAAACGGGTGATTTAGTCCTCATAAAGAACAGCAGACAGGATGGCCCCCTCTGTGATAAGATGCAGAGTCAATATATGGGACCATATATGGTTGTTAAGCAGAGATCCAGAGGCACATACATAGTAGTAGAGCTCGATGGATCAATATTCCGGCATATGATTGCCAAGTTCAGGGTGATACCCTACCTGGCCCGGAAAGACATGTTGAGCACAGTGGAGACAGTCCTCTGAAATCTCAAAAACATGGACTTTGAAGTGAATGAACCAGACCACAAAGCAGAATTTGAACGTTTGAACAAGGAAGCAGAAGGAGAAGAGGAGGAAAGTGAGAACCAGGAGATAGGTGGAGATGTTGTGGAAGACAGGGACAAAGGAGAAGACTTCAAAGTTTGAGAAGAGGATTTAGACTGGCTTGCCCTCCAATTTGATCTCAGAATGAAGATTTGAACAGTATGCTAGAAAGGAACAACTTCACTATACCTATACCAAGAAGTGTATCTCTGTCAATACAGAATGCATATATATCACACTCATTTCAAACAATCACATGACCATTTTTGTCACTAGTTCTTTCCACTGCACATTAACTAAAGTACATGTCAAAATTGGGATATTTCTATCTACAATCCTGCTCCCTTGATACCTGCCACTACTCCGTATCAACACCTCAAATTGCAACCATCAGACAGTGATATAAAGAAAAATTCTGTTTTTAAAGTCAGCTTGAGCAGATCTGAAATCAAAATCAAGACATGCACACTTGGCTTGCTGCTTGCCCTTGTCTGCCTGGCAGGAGGACTTGCCCTTCTTGCTTGAGTCATCATGACAATGGTGGTAGGCTGCCTGGGCCTTCTCCAAATCTTCATTGACCACTGGGATCAGCTTGCCCCTCTTGACGTGATATATGGCATTGGCGGCCTTGTGAGTGTTCTGAGGTGCAACCATGACTGAGAAGTTGTTGTCATCAAGCTTGCCAGATTTCTTGATGTCAGAGTGAAGCATGCAAAGGCTCTCACTCAAGACAGCATGCGTGACATGGAGGTGTTTGGAGTCATGGATGAGGTGGTGGAGGCACTGCACTGTCCAAAACATGTCAGAAAATGGACCAAAACCGCAACAAAAAGAACTTATGGAAAGTGCCAGAGAACTTCAGGAATGTGGGGGAGTCTGCATCCCTCCATGCCATCTCTGTGCTCACAACTGCATCTGGGATAGTGAACAAGAGTTCACCCTCCATCTTCACGGTACTGGATTTTGCCCTCTTGTTGGGCCTCTTCAAGTCATCACTGGTTATGTTGACTGTTGCCTTGCATTTCGAACCGGCAGCCTTTGAGCCTTCTCTGGCAGTCTCCTTATCTGTTTGAAATCAGTATCAAACTTCAAACAAGCGAGAAAAACACTTACTGTGTGTGTGACAAAGCTACAACTGTAGCCCTTGCACTGGCACAAGTCGCATGAGTGACCAACTTGCTTCAACTCGCCCTTCCAGTCAATGTCTGAGTGATTCCATCCACTGGTGCACCATTGGCCCTCCTGGTTGGAGCCACACATTTTGCACTATGATGGAAGTTAGATAGGATCAAGGCAGATAAGGAAAAGATGCACCAGAATGGGATTCTCATGGAGAACTTGGAACATCTACTTGAAGTTAGAATCGGAACTCAAAAAGGCAAAGGAGAAACACTTATGTTCTTGAATCCTTTCACCTTTGTAAAGTATGAGATCGGTCATACTGGTGACAGGCACATGTCCATGATGGACAGATGGTCCCCATGAAGATGGTCCGGATCAAGCTTTAAAAGGATGTCAGCCAAGATACAAACACCAATTTGAAGACTTACCAAAGCATCAAACTCAGCAGCTGTCCTAGTTGCCTTAGTTGCACCCTCAAGGGCTTCCAGCATGTGGGACTGGAAGACCTAGAACAAGTCAGCAAGTCAAAGGCCAGCAATTTGAAATGACTTACACCATTGGGTATGGGCAGTGGATCCAGCTTGGCTTCCACAGCAAGAGCCAGGAGAGCTGCACTGAGCTTGTTTTCTTGGCGCCTTGATGGCCTTCTTTGAATCGTTGGGAACAGGAGTCGTTTTGACCATGGACAGAGATTTTGGGGGCAAAGGAGGCAGAGAAGCAGTGGCAGAGACAGAGACCCTCGAATGGGAGCACCAAGTTGGGATCTCCACAACAACAGTTGTCTTTGGAAGAGCCAGGATGGAAGCCAGCTTTATGGGCAAATGCATTGGGGTTGCCTTCTTGGGTGAGGGAATCAGAGTCACCACCTTTGGAACAGGAAGTGATGGACTCCCTTCAAGACTGGCCCTGCCATGTGTCTGCATGGTGCATAGGTGTTGCACCTGCTCAGCTGCAGACAGAGAATTCTAAGCCTCCTCCTTGGCTTCGATTGCCGCTTCGAGGTTCTTGTCTGGCTGTTTGAGCATCAGTCAGCAGGTTTGAAACGGGAAAGAATGCTCTGTGCACCTCCTTGTTACCAGCCAGAGTGGCCCCAAGCTCTGTCTGATGCCTGAGGGCCCAAGTATCAAAGGGAGGTTTGTTGTCCCTCCCCACCACAGCCTTCCAATCCCCCTCTACCCACTCCTCAAACGGCAAGTACACTGGCCCTCCATGCACCATCAACTTCACAACAAGTTGGTTCCCCTGCAGGATAATTAGAAAAAAGAAACCAGGAAAGGGAAAATACATGAACCATTCTTGCATGCCATTGTGTCTGGAACGTGGGACCCATGAACAATGCTGCAGTCAAAGGCACAGCCTGCCAATATTTTTTCCTATTGTGTCTCAAAATGTACTTGACAAGCTCAATCTACCAAAGAAGTTACATACAAAGTTCAAAAATGAGCAGGAAGGCTTATCCGGAACTCAGACACTCCACCATTCGCTCTCCAGGCATTGACATCTGTGCCAAAGGGAGGGATCATGGCGAGAATCTTGGAGAGGCCCTTCCTGGGCTGTTCCTGTCAGAACCATGTCAGCAATGAAGTGCATATATGCAGTCAAATCTTGATCCGTGTGGATGACCTGGTTGAAGAGACTCTTGATTTTGGAGTCCAGGTCTTTGAAGGGGGCATGGATGCCATCTTTGAGGGCATCACCTTCACAGATGCCGACTTCACATTTGAGGCTGGGCAATCAGCCACAGGCTCTGGCTCGGGCATCTATGCAAAAGTTAGCAGAGGAAAAGACACAAAGGAACAAAGAAGGGACACACAGCAGGGGGATCCTCCTTCTCGAGGTTGGTCAACTTGTTGTGTGAGGACTCCACCAACTCCTTTGACTGAGTCTTCTTACGGGAGGCCTTCTGAGCCCTCAAACCTTCTTTTTGTATCTGCAGCAGAAGGCTTCTTGCTTGAAGAAGCCTTGGACTTCGCCTTGGATGACAAAGGCTTCTTGCTGGAGGCAGCCCTAGTGCTGGAGGGAGCCATAGAAAAGTCAAGTGTGAAGAAAGGAAGGTGTTAGGATGGTGGTGGGCAGAGACAGAAAATTTATAAGGCAGCAGCATATGAAAGGACCTGCTGCACCTCTCTTTATATGCCGGGTCAAAATAGGTCCTGTCAAGGAAGTTCAAAGGCCCAAGATTTAGACCACACTTCCTTGGTGACTGAATGGCCTTTGTGTGTAGGCCCTGACCCAAACAAAGCCTGCACCACCATATTGCCATCCACCACTGCTTGAAATGCCACCTCAAACCACCAATCCAAACCACCCCCCCACTGTGATACATCAGGCTATTCCAGAACATTGCTCAACAATGGTCATGTGACTGAGGACAGTCAGTGAGTAAGTCCCCTGTGAGATGTACTGCACATTCCAGTTTTGAGCTTGAATCCAACCTTCAAAAGCCTCTTCAAATGACACCTTGAACTTGGCTGGACCAGACTATTGGAAGCAAGAAGTGGAGCCTATACATAGCATTAGGTAATGTAGATTAGATATAGATTAGTAGTAGTCCAAAGGTCTGAACTGCCCCAAACATATATAGGCAGATTTGGGTACTTCAGATAGGGTCTCTCAGACTCCTCTCTTACTAGCCACTACTGCACTCATTCAAGACGGGTGTCTCTCTAACTTACAACTAATACTACTGCTTTACTTTAAAGTTGCTCCTTGCTCTAGTTCCCTCTTAGACTGATTTGAGCCTCAATTCGACTGCTTGACCTTCAGAAGCCACCTTTGTTCACCTCATATGGCTTGTTCCCCTTCCACTCCTTGTTTGGACTCCCTTTGGACTGCTGCAACAGGCCTCGGAGCTCACACAAGACTCTTTGGATTGGCATTCAAATGGCTCTATCATAGGAGACCACAATTTGATTTGGTCCAATTTTGTCTAGTACTATCTACTACAATGTATGGGCCACCACTGTTGACTCCCCCTCCAGTGGACCTTCTCCTGACACCTCATTGGGAGGTGTAGAGTACATTTCAAAAAGAGGATCAATGTTCTTTGGAACATGCATGACGAGATTGGACACAGGGGCTTTCGAATGGTATACAACCACATTTGACTTTGGTTCTTCTGGCCAAACTTGATGGATGACACAAAACAGTACCTAAGGACATGTGACAAATGCCAACAACAACAGATGAGACATGTGATTATTCTGCCCATGGTACAGACTCCACAACCATTGTTCTTTTGAGCTCATTGCGACACAATGTTCATGCCACCTTCAAAAGGCTGATACCAAGGAATGAGGTACATTCTGCAAGCTCAGTGTTCACTTATGCACTGGCCAGAGTACATGATCTGCCAGAAGGAAATGGCCGAGGTCATAGAGGATTTCATTCATAAGAATATCCTCTGTTGTTGGGGTGCTATCAGCGAAATTGTCACAGACAATGGTTCTCCTTGGATCAGTGCTATGAAGTCTCTCAAGGAAAAGTACCACTTGAATGTGTAGATGGAGCAGCTGCCATATGATTCAACTAGTGGTTCAGAAAGTGGAGGGAGGGCTGAGTCCCAAATTGTTATGCTGTTCAGCAGCTGTAGGTCCAAAACAGGTTGTAGAGATCCATCTTTTTTCAGGATGCAGAACCAGTGGGATGGTATGAGGATTGGGAGGGTTCATAAATTCCTGCATTTAGTTTGTCCTGTAGTGCCTTGAGGACCTTGGGTAATAGAGTCGGGGGCACCAGAATATTCTTCTGTTGCCAGGGTATGTGTTTGATCATTGGAATTTGGACTGGGTCAAAGTAGTTGCTGCGAAATAGTCCCATTTTTTGCTCATTCCAAGCAAAAGCCTTTTCATGGGTATGGAGAACCCAGGCCATGAGTTTTTTCTTCTTTGGGCCAAAGGGCTGGCTTTTGTTTGATGTTGTTTTGATAGAGGATGTATCCAACACCAATATTTGAGGAGTCCACCATGAGGATAATCTGGCATTTGCTTTCATAGTTGATGGGACAGAGGAGACCATCCTGACATGCATCTGCTTTTAACTGGTCAAAAGCAGCTTGGTGCTTGGGGCCCCAGGTGAATATCGTGCCCTTGCATTTGAGATGTTCCAAGGGGCAGGCCTTCATAGCAAATTTTTTTATGAATATTTGGAGGATGCTGAGAGTACCCAGGAATGCTCGAACTTCTGTGAGGGATTTGCATGGTTGCCAGTCCTGGATTTTCACCACCTTGGAAGGCTTGGGCTGTCAGCCTGCATAGGTACAATGTTGTCCAAGGATAATGACTTCAGGTGCAGCTATTACCACTCTTGGACCACTGAAAGTGCCACCAGAATGTTCAATGCAGGTCAGGATTTGATTTATGGCTTCCATGTGTTCCCACATAAAATGACAAATACCCTTATTTTGGGGGTGCCGTTCAAAATCACTGCCAGGGAGTTTGTATCACATTGGTGGGCCGTGGATGGGGATGTCGTCAACAAAGGGAATCATATATTCAGGGATTTTGTTGTGGAGGAGGAAGGTGACATCCTTGTGCATGATCTGGATGCTGTTTGTTCCACACATCTGATTTTGGGTGCTGTGAAGGGAACCTTTGAGGGATTGGAAAGTCGTGAGATCCCAACTTTCCAGATGAAGGAGGTGTTGTTCAAAGCCACAAAAGAAGTTGAAAAGCATGTAGATGGATCATCTGCCATAAGATTTGATGAGGGGTTCAGCAAGCAGTGGAAAGGCCAAGTCCCAAATTGTTATGCTGTTGAGCAGTTGCAGGTCCAAAACAGGTCATAGGGAGCTGTCTTTCTTCAGAATGCAGAACCAGCAGGATCAGTAGGAGGATTGGGAGGGTTTGTATATTCCTGCATTTAGCTTGTCTTGCAAGGCCTTCAAGACCTTTGGCAGTAAAGCGGGAGGCACCGGAATATTCTTCTGTTGCCAGGGTATATGTTCAATCATCGGAATTTGGACTGGGTCGAAGTAATCACTGTGAAATAAACCCATTTCTTGCTCATTCCAAGCGAACACTTTTTTGTGGGTATGAAGGACCCATGCCACAAGGTTTTCTTCTTTGGGCCAAAGGAATCTGTATTTGTTGATGTTCAGTTCTTTGAATCATTCCAGAGTGAGCCATTTTCTGGGGATAAAGGTTAGTGGGGTATCAGGGAGTAGGGGAAGCATAGTAAGAGGGTCAGAGGGAAAGCATCTCCATATTTTTACACTTTCCAGTGTCATTGTTGAGACAGGTTTCACACATCTGTCTGCGGGTTTGTATTTTTGGGCTGCATATACAGGATGGGTATCGTTGGGTATGGTATCCAAATCTGGGGTGTCTATCTGAGAGCTGTTATTCAAGATCAAGTGCCAATTAATTGAGGGGGTCTGTGCCATCTTCTGGTTGCCAGTGAAGATGGTCCCAAATCGAAAATCCTGGGCCACTCGTTTTCTTCCCATTCAGTGCAATTGGGTCCACAGGTTTATGGTCTGGTGGGAATTTGAACATGTGATCTGTATCTTCTGTTTTCTGCTTGTATAATCCTGAGTGATGCAAGAGGCAAGGACATGGAATGGGCAACTGAGGAGCAGGTGGAAAGGCAGGTTTGGGAGGATGAAAGCCTGTACATAGAAGTTGAGACCAGAGATGCCAATGCGTAAATTTGGGATGTGTCCAAGAAGTTGACTGACCAAATCATTTGCAGATTCCATGCACTGTCCTTTTATTGGGGTGTATGCAAGTCTGATTTGTTTGCAGCACTGTTCACTGATGCTGACAATGCCAGAGCAGCCATTGAGGATGCAGGGCACAGGGGTGTCATAGTTGCCGATTAAACATTGGATCTGCCAGAGGGGCACCATGTCTTTGTTGACTAACAATCTGTCCATGTCTTCCGAAATGCCTTCTATCTGGTAGATTGGAGCCTTGCCGTCTTGTACCTTGGTGACCTGTATTACATCTGGAATAACCAGTTTCTTGCTGTAGGCTTCCTTGAGCACCTTGTTAAACACAGGACATGCCAAGGCCAGGACCTTGCTGGGAACTTGAACTGGAGTGTCTGCAAGAGTAACAGCCAGTGCCTGCAAAATGGTCTTGTCTTCTGCATTTTCGGCACACTTGGTACGGGGCTTCGGCAGGTCTGGGATAGCATCCAGTTTCTCCAGTTCATCCACTCATATGCCAGCAAAGTGTGCAGTACTATGATGCATGCCTGCATCCGATTTCTCTTTTCTAGCTGCTGGTGTGTAGACTTCAGAGACCTTAACCGCTTTTCCTGTGGATGCTGCATGCCTTTTCTTGAGTTGTTTTGCTTTGGCCATGAGCACCTTGATCTCCTCATCGTTCCATTCAACTGTGTCATCCTGGTTTTTGGCAAGGAGGTGCAGTACCAAGTGATCCACCATTACTTCAGGAGAGACCACTGAGCTTGTCTCTGAGTCGGCTTTTGAGCCTTGGAGAAGTACTTGAGATTTTGATGGTCAGTTAGGATTTCAAATGGCTCTGATGTCCCTTTGAGAAAGTGTCTCCACTCATCAAGAGCCCAGATGATTGCAAGAAGCTCCTTATCATGGCTCTTGTGGTTGCATTTGACATCTGAGAGGCTTTTCGACATGAATGCCACTGGGTGCCATTTCTCATCTTCCCTGATCTGGGAGAGGACTGCCCAGATGCATAATCGGATGCATCAGCTTCCAGCTGAAATGGGTGGTTGTCCTGAGCAAGAGCCAATATTGGGGCCCATGTGTTTGCCAATTTCAGGCTTTCAAATGCTGATTGTTCAAGACTGCCCCACTGCCAAGATTGATTCTTTTTTGTAGGATTGTGCAAGGGTCAGGCCATATTTGAGAAGTCACATATGAATCAAAGGTAGAAGTTGCAGAAACTGATGAAACTTTGCATCGTAGTCACATTCCCTGGTGTGGGCCAGTCTGCAACCCCTGCAATCTTGACCAGATCCATCTTGACATGGCCCTTTGAGATAACAAGACCAAGGTATTTGATCTTCTCACAGTGGAACTAGCATTTCTCAGCCTTGAGATACAGGTGGTGCTTCCTGAGGACCTCGAGGACCTCTCAAGTTGTTCAGTGGTGGGTCAGGATATTGTCAGTGAAGATGAGGATATCATCCATATATACCACCACTCAGCCTTCATTGATGAGGTCTCAGAAGATATTGTTCATCATTGTTTGGAAGGTACTGGGGCAATTGACCAATCCGAAGAACATCACAAGAGGTTTGAACAGCCCATGATTGGTTCAGAATGCTGCTTTCCACTCATCCCCTTCCTTGATCCTGATATTGTTATATCCCCATCTGATATCCAGTTTTGTGAAGTATCATGCCATTTGGAGTTGATTCACCAGGTCCAAGATGAGCAGGATGGGGTATTGATTCTTGATCATGACCTTGTTTAGCTTTTGATAATCCTGAACCAGCCTGAGACTGCCATCCTTCTTCTTGACAAAGAATACTGGGGCACCCATTGGTGATTTCAAAGGTCAAATCCAACCTGTCTTGAGGTTTTCATGCAGGAAGTTGTCCAACTGTTTCTGCTCTGGCAAAGAGAGGGGATACACCTTCGAGCTGCACAATTCACTGCCTGGTTTGAGTTTGATTGCATGGTCCCAGGGCCGAGATTCCAGAAGTCTGTCAAACACTCCTTTGAAAAGATATTGTGGAAAGAGTGGTATTTGGTTGGCACAATTTCTTTGAAACCCCTATGTTCTTCTCGTTTTCCCATATCCTTGGCTGCAAGGCATGCTGAGACACTCTCAGTTGCTCAAACCTGTTGGTGGGGCCCTCTGATCCATTGGATCCATAGCTGATCACCCAAATCCATGATTCTGTTTCCGGGTTTATCATCTTCTGTATCCTCAAGAACAAGTGGTATTGCTTCTCGGTGCTTCCAGTGTAATTGTCTGGCCAATTGCAGTGTTCAAATTCTAAGTGAGCACTCCTTGGGGCATCTCGTCATCAAGACTGTCCCTTTTGCCCAATCAATCTCTGGGTTGTGCCTTGCCAACCATGGAAAGCCTACAATAATAGCCCTTCAGCCCAATCCGGTGACATGAAACACTGCTTGTTCTGAGTGATCACCATATTGGATGATCAACTCTGCAATCTCAGTTATTGCACCAGCTTTGTTTGGTGTTCTGTCAATATTGAAGACTGGGGAGGCTTTTCTGAGTCATATCATGCTGATCTTGTTTTCTCAAACAGATTCTTGGTCCAAGAACAGTCTGGTTGCACTGGAATCAAGGAGAGTAAGAAGGTCAATTTCCCTTCTGGTGTCCAGAGTCTGGAGTTGGATGTCAATCTTGAGTTCTCAGTGTCATCCTTCAGGGTATCATGCCAATGCTGCCTTGGCAGGATGCTCATCTCATTGCACTATCAAGAGTTGATGGGGAAGGTTGGAACCAATCATGGTATCAGAGGAAACAATATTCATTGAAGGGTTCAAGATCTTCCTATTTGACATCTTGATGGTATCAGTCAGGCAGTTTGTGCTACATTCTGCTGACCTTTTCAAAACTCCAATGCATCTCAAGGTGTCTCTGAGTTTGCATCGGTTTGGTTGTGCATATCAAAGGTTTCCAGAACTGTGACCGTGGCCAACTCTTCATGGATGGCTTCTCAAATTAAATTGAGATCAAGGCCTCGGACATGTCTCAATGGTTTGGGGCAGTCTCAACTGATGTGGCCCAGTTTTTGGCAGTTGTAGCATCAGATTGTGCTACAATCATGTTGAGACTTATTGATCTCCATGGGCACCCCAGGGTGGAGTTCCTTGGTTTTCTTTGAGATGGTTGGGATTGCAGTTGCCAATTGCAAGACTGGCTGGTTGTGGGCCCACCTTGTAGTTTGCATGGGGATCAACCAGGTTGTGGTCCCCTTTTGGTGTGCTTCAAGTTTCTGCCACTGCTGATCAAATCTTGAGGCATAGTCATACCAGCCTTGCAGTGTATCGGGCATCTCAGCCAAAGAGTAGATCTTATTGACCATGGATTGGTGGAGACCAGGTTCAAACTTCTCAATTAGGGCAATATCATTGTAGCCACTATGAGATGCTGCTTCTTTGAAGGCTGAGATATACTCATCAGCTGAGAGCTTGTCCTGTCACAGGTTCTTGAGTTTCTGATGTGCTGAGTTGCCAGGATCAGGATCCAAGAAGGTCTTTTGAAAGTCCTCAAGAAAGAGTTTCCAGGTCTCATAAGCTGGCCCTTCCTCTTTCACCAGTTTTGCTGTGTTGTTGTCCACCTTCCAGTCTGCCCATTCACCAGCAAGCCCAGATTTCATGTATGAGAGGGAGAACAATATGTTCCTTGTCAGGGGGGAATTCAGAAGGATGAGAGTGAATATACAGTTTGATTTGTTGGATAAATGTAGCAGTTTTTGCATGAGAGCCATTGAACTCATTGGGAGTTGCAACCTTTGGCCCTTTTGAGGTGCGAGAGGCCTGGTCTGCAGTAACCCCTTGGAGTGTTGCAATCTCCATCATGTGGCCTTTGATTGGCTTGCAACAGATTGTTGCAAGAATGGGATGGTCATGGGTTTGGTGGGCCTTTGGGAAGGTTCAGCTCCAGGTGGAGCATTCCAGTGTTGTTGCTCATAGTGTTTTGGTATATCAAGTGATATCATTGGCAGGGTGGGTGTTATCAAGATCTGATCTTCTGTCAGGGCACACAATACCAGACATGAGGCTGCCATCGATATGACCAGAAAGGGTCAATAGAGGATGTGTTGAGGGTTGAGAGAGTGACACCACCAGGCCAAGATATCACAAGACTAGGCTGGCAGATATCGTCAGATAATGATGGTGTGAACAGAGGTCAAGAGAAGTATCGAGAGGAGCACTAGGATATTGAGAGCACAAGCTGACAGTATTGTCCAGTTTGCTCAAGAAGATAAGTTCGATGAGATATCAATGCCTAGTTTGACTACACAAGTATTGTGGAGGATCCTAAGAGATCAGATCTAAGGACAAAATGACAAAAGGGGACGAGACTATCTATGATAGCCACGGAAACAATCTAAAGAAGGTGGCTGAAAACTGTACAGCAGGGATTACCTTAGGGCAGGGTCCTAAGGACTTAGAGGATTCAACTCAGCCATTGATATCATGTGAGATGGTCAAGATGTTTCTCTTGGTCCTTTGATCTGTATTGTGGGTTTGAGATGATCATGATATTTCAAAATTAGGTGATCCCTGACATGATGTTCTCTGACCCATATATTAATACCTTCATATCACTATGCCCAGTATAACTTGAGATGGTTATGACTGAATCTGCTCATGCTGCACTCCCCCCAGACCAAAAAGCAACAATGCCCACAACCCCCACAAAGCAATGTGCCATATGGGTCCTCTGGAATGCTGGTAAAACCTGGCCCTATACTGCAGCAGAGCTTGATCAGAGCATTTGAACATGTCAGCACTGGTACTATGCAATCTGAGACCAGCAAAGAAGCATATACTTGCCTATACATGGTCATGGGTGCAAAAACCTCCTTACTCCAGCAGATGTGGACCTGGCTGTCCAAGGCATTGATGGAGGTGATTTCACTGATGCAAGTGATTGCTGCCAAAAGCTCTTTCCCTGGGTCAGTGTCCATACAGTGTGTCATGCACTTTCTCAAGCTAGTCTGAAGCATCAAGTGGCTGCTGGAAAGCCTTATCTCAAAACAGAGAATGCAGAGATCTGCCTTCAGTGGGCAAAGGAGAGGGAACATTGGATGGTAGAGGACTGGAAGCAGGTGGTGTTCTCATATGAGTCAGCAGTCAGTATGTGGGGATTTTTTGGGCATTGCTGGGTTAGGAGGAGGGTGGGGGAGAGATATATGCCAGGGAAGACATGGCACCTAGTGAGACACCCAAAGAAAGTCTTTGTAGACTGCTGCATTCTCTGTGATAGGAGGGTCAGCTTCATCACTTTGAGGGAAAGATAAACTGGGAAAAGTACATCTGTGCTGTTGACCAGGGCTATCTTCCAGCTCTTGTGGACTGCTACAAGGCCACCACTGACTTCATCTATCAGCATGACAATGATAAAAAGAGCAAAACTCCCAGTATCTTTAAATAGCTTGACCATCATGAAATTTACCTCATGGAATGGCCTCCATACTCCCCAGACCTCACTCCTATTGAAAATCTATGGTATCAACTCAGGGCTCAACTCCTGAAGAGATGTCCAATGCCTACAACACTGAATGGAGTGTGGGAAGCAATTTCAGAGGAGTGGGACTGGACCCGAAGGGAATATATTGAGAGGCTATATGAATCCATGCCTTATTGCATTGCTGCATGCATTGCCAACAATGGTTGGCATACCAAATATTGAACATTATCATCTTCACTTCGATTTTTATGTAAGACACATATGCAGTTAACTTTGTAGATTGTTGTCAAATGCACATGGTCAAATAAATGAGTGGAAATGTTGGATGCACAAGGGACTGTGACTGTGAGGGCACACAGTCAAGCAAGGCTGCTGACTATAACCTGACAAGATGACAAGATTAACAGTAAGACCAAACACCCTATATTGATAGGGGTATCAGTGGATATCACAGTGGATTTGAGAGGGTTCAGAAAGTGAAGCAGAATTTGGTATGATTTGGGAAGAGTTTCAGTGAGATGAAATGACTAGGCCTATCTCTACAAGACTGTGGAGATTCTTCAGAGATCATATCTAACAAGAATAGTACTACCCTACTACTGCTTATACTCATAGGGCATGGTATGTGCACATGGAAATTTTACCTCAATTAGGGCTGGCTTTACTGATTCATGCAAGTTGGCATCTGTCAGTCCTTGTGTTTGGTATTCGGAGCTGGCTCAGTGTGGAGACCCTTGCCTGTGTTGTCAAAGTCCAATAGTCACTGAGTGGATCAAATTGAGTTTGAATGTACCAAATGTGCAGTCAAAACTGGGAGTCCCCTGACATGGGGTTAGCCAGGTGCTATGCTATTGGAAGTCAGTATGTATAAATCAGAAGTCAGTCTCAGAATCAGTCAATCAAGATAAGTCAAGTCAAGTCTTTCTGCCAGTATAGGATAATTGGATCTGTATAAGCACTTGCAGAAAAGGGGAAGATAAGCCAAGTACAGCAGTTTCTATATGCTACTTATACTACTACTCAAGGCTGTGTGAAACACCCCTTGTATCCAGGTGCAGTGCCAGGGCTGGGGTTGGCATGCCAAATATTGGAGGAGTGGAGCTCATTGCAGGGCCCATCATTCCCATTGCAGGGGTCCATTGTACTGGTTGCAAGGGTCCATAGTGCTGTGCACTGGTTGGCTGGGCTCCAAATAACTGTGGGAATGTTGGCCTGACACAGCCCACTGAAGGCAGGGTTGTTCAGCAGTAGAGCAGAGTCAATGATGACTGGGGAAGTGTACTCTACACCTCCCAATGAGGTATCAGGAGAAGGTCTGCTGGAGGGGGAGTTGACTATAGTGGCCTGTACTCTGTAGTAGTTAGAACTAGATATAGCCAAGGTCAAATCAAAGGTTGACTCCAAAGGTAGAACAACACAAAGGCCAATTCAAAGGTCCTGTGTGCTCTCTGAAGCCCAATGCAGCAATCCAATGGGAATCCGAATGAGAGGGGTCAGAGGAAAGAGTCAAAAGGGGAAAACAAGTGTTGTCTTCTCTGGTCAAGAGCTTGAAACAAGGCTCGGATCAGTCCTAGTAGGGGATAGAATAAAGAGAGACTGTAGGGTAAACCAATAGTTATTAGGTGTAAGATAAAGATCACCCACTTGAACAAGTGAAGTAGAAGTAAGTCAGAGAAAGGAGTCCAAGTGTCCCTATCCAAAGTATCTGAATCCTCCTATATATGTTTGGAGTGGTTCGGACCTTCAGACTACTACTAATTTATGTCTACTCTATATTACCTAATGCTATGTCTTGGGTCCACTTCTTGCTTCCAATAGTCTGGTCCGGCTGAGTTTGACATGTCATTTGAAGAGGTGTTTGAAGGTCAGATTCAAACTTGAAACTTGAATCTGCAGCACACTATAATGTTTTTTATCATCAATCAGGTTGATGTGGTGATTAACTTCCCTCAGAGGAGGGAGCTGTTGTGGGATCTCACCTGTGAGATCCTCGATTTTACAGATAAGAGTCTTTCTTATCTTTTGCAACATTTCCTCCCCATAGGAAGATAGTGCTTCCCTAGTGCCCTTTGGGGCTTGGGGAGTAGATGCTCATGCAGTGAGCACATGTTTGACCCCAGTTTGGTCGGGTTCTTGACTTCTCTTCTGGAAGCTAGTTTTGTCTTTGGGATGCTGTCCCATATTCCCACAGACAATGCCTCTCCCAAGGCTATCCATTTTCCCATAGGGCCTCCAATAAGGAGGCCTTTTCTACCAAGATCTAATAGGATCTTGAACTTCTTGCCAAAAGGCATACCTAGGATCACTTGGTATTTGTCAGTATTGACAACATCAAAGTAGTGTTCCACTACTCTGTTGCCAATGTTGATCTTGACATTAACACCATACTGGATCACAGTATGACTACCCCTACTCATCTGTTGTAGGGCAACTGGATTCTCCAGTTTGACATATTCCAAGCCATGGGCTTGGATAAAATCAGCCCAGATTGTATCAATCTCTGCACCACTGTCCAGCAGGGCAAACACAGGGTGCCTAGCAATGCTAATATAGCATTTGATGGGGGATAATGCTGCATTGTCCTGAAGAGGTTGCTCTCTTCCTAGATGGACAATGCCATCTCTTTGCCAGATCTCTGGCTTGACATCCTTTGCTGCTGCAAACTTACTATGAGCAGATACTGCTTGTACCACCAGTAAGCCAAAAGGCTTAATCAACATAACTTGCATATTAGCGGGTATAATGTCCTCCTCTAGGACATCTTCAACATCTTTGATGTTGGCGGAGTCATGCACTGGAGGATGATCAAACTCTTCATCCTCCAGGTTGTATTAGCCTGTATCATCCTCAGGATGAAGATTGCCAAACTCATCTTCTAGGCAAGCTCCTGTCAATATGGCATGCACACCATTGTCCTCAAGGATGTACTCAACCTTATCAATCCTCTCAGGTGCTGCAAGACATGCACACCTCTACATTGAGGGCAGGTATTTGCCCAATGACCAGACTTGGTACATATGTAACCATTCAGATCTCCCCCAGACTGGGGTTGTTTCAACTTATTGGTGATGGGAGGGACATTGTCCCTCTTGATTCCCCCAGATGTACTAGGGGTAGGAGGTCTCCTCCCATGGTTTACAGGTTTTGTATCTTTCTTGGGAGTTACTCCCCTCTCCATGGAAGCCCCCCTAGAAGGGCCAGCTCCTGGTCTAGGTGTTTCTGGGTGCCTAATCTCATATTGTATTGGATGATACAATTGGCTAGGATAAGGATATGTTTTCCTCACAGGTATTGAACTACCTGTTGTCATCCCTCTATAGGGGGACAAAGGTTTACACATATTTTTATATGCCTGCAACCCTCATGCCATGTCAAGTTGACTCAATGGCATGAGTAAACAACATGTCAAATATCCCCTTGTCTATGTCATGACCCAATTCAAGCACTTTGGTGCTTATCTCTTCATTCAACCCAAAGAGGAACCTCCTTTGAATTTGGAAGTTGTTAGGATGCTCATGCATCCTACTCATTATGGACATTAATTTGTCCTTATACACTTCAACAGTGTCTCATCCTTGCAACAAGGTGTCAAAAGCACCATATGCTTTCAATGTTTCTTCCACTGAGAAGAAGCAATTGTACAATCCCCAGATCATCTGGGAAAATGTCCATTGATCTCTAGGTGTGTTACCTAGATCAATGTTTTGCTCTACCCAACAGTGAGCTTCACCAGTCACATGTTGACTGCATAAGTGATTTGCCAATCACTAAAGTCAGGCCCGGTCATTCTGGCTGCCCAAAATGCACATACCAGCATCACAAGAAATTCTATGAATTTCTCCACATCTGATTCACCCCCATAGGAGGTTTCCAAAGCCTTAGGCTTCAATACCATCTTAGAAGATGGGATGTGGTTAATCACAGGCATCTGGGATGTCTGCAACCATTTGTCAACCCTCCACATAGGAGTGGTAGAGATTGTCGATCCTCCTTGAAGATTATCCTTGCTCCTAAACATAGGAGTGTTGTATGGTCCACAAGTAGTGGACTTTTGGTTCAAATTGTGGAACCATTGGACAGGTTCCCAAATGGGAACTTTGGTGTGTATGGATCCTCTTAGTCCAGATCAAAATGAACATTTGGAGTGGGCTCTTTCCTCATCTCCATACTGGGAGGGGTGGGAGGGATGCTTAGCAGGGTCTCTTCCAACTCTGTAGCATCCTTTAAGGATGCTCTTTCAGGATCTACCTTAGATCCTTCTTCCCCAGAAGGCATTTGTGAATGTGGTGAGCTAGGCAATATCTGCAATCCCATTCCAGATTGGAAGAGACTTGGTTGTGACTCAAAGCCATAGACCATGTCATTCATATGGAGACTCATCATCTTCCATCCCATTTCAGCATATATCTATATGCATTTGGGGTCCTGCCTGGCCATGGCCAGAACATTACGCTCTGCAATCAAGTGTTGCAAAGAGTCTGCAATGTCATGCATCCAGCTCAAATCTGCACAGGGATCTAATCAATCCCTTGTAGCAGTCAGACCTGCAATGATCTGACTATTGCTTCTATTGGAAGCACCATTGGCTGAGGAATCCTCATCCAATAACATATTGGAATCCTTAGTTTCCATTCACTCTCTATGAGCAGTGAGATCAGTTCTTTGATCTCCTTGCATGGGTTCCTGTTTCCCAGAAACCCATTCTGAACTATTTCCAGGTTCAGAAAAGCTCAAAGAGCCTGGCATGGTTGTGGGAGTATTGAGAGGGCTTACTATGCCCTTACACCCTCAATACATACACAGATCAAATGTATTACTATCTAGTAGCAATACAATATGTGTAGTAAAAGGATAGAGAGAAGGGTGGCCTACAGCCACCTGCTATGTGTCAGTCCTCTGGATGATCATGATTGCCTCACAGAGGCAATCCTACCTAAAAAGGTAAGTACAGGTTCATATATGGACCCTTACAAGTATCCACAATCCCAGATCCTGAGCCTTTAGGACTGACACCAGTCTTTCTGGGAGCAGGGTGTTCCGCCATTTTTTAGCTGGTCTCTGCAATACAGAGACTAGAACCTGACACAGAGTGTTTCTCACTCTATTCCTATATAAACTCCACTTGTTGGAGAAGTGTAAAAGAGTGAAAGGGCTTACAATGCCCTTATGCCTTCAGTACATACACTGATCAAATGTATTACTAGCTAGTAGCAATACATTACATGTAGTAAGAGGGATAGAGAGAAGGGTGGCCTACAGCCACCCACTATGTGTCAGTCCATGGACAATCATGATCACCTCGCATAGGCAATCCTACCTAAAAAGGTAAGTACAGGGTCATATATGGACCCTTACATGTTTGGACTGATCCAAAGAACAATGAGGTTGTGATTACAAATCTGTGATGGACAGCAGTCATGCAAGAACATGTACATGTAACAATGGGAATAATGGCAGAAGGTGGCAAATGTCATGAAAAAATGGGAAACAGTGGAATGTAATTCCAGCGCACCTTGTGGGCCTCATGCACCAATTCAGTGCAATGACCCATTTGTCAGCTCCAGTCCTTGTCAGCTTCAGTACCGATCCCATCCTTCTCTGATAATTGTGGAAAAAAAAATGGGTCCCTTCAGAAGCAGCACTGATGGCAGAAGGTAATGAGTGTCTGCGAAGGTGACAGTGACAGGCACCGCATGTTGACCTTCAAGGAGCCATTGTAAAAACAGGGATCTGATTATGGAACAACTACCTGGATTGCCCATGAAAATCCAACTTCATGAAATCGAACCTCGCACTTTCAGCTTTTCTCCTTTCGGCCCCACTAGCCCTTTACAGTTTTCCCTCCTTTCCCACAACCTGCCTCCATGAATAACAGTCACTTGCACAATTATGTAAGCGAACTAAGCGCTTGCAGTGTACAGCATCATGGTACGGTACACGCGAATCGATACATTGCATCGCGATAGACATGTGTGACAGAAAGTCAGGTTGGCTCAATGGAATGCAGTCTGTGCCTCAATGATCGCGTCGAGGGTTTGTGTATGCCCGGCACCGTCGGATGGTCCCCAAACCAAGTCAACAATGTATTTCCACTTATCCCCAACCCCTGTCCCTTGCATCCTCATCCCTGCCTTCTCCCAGAGTGTCGATGGAAGGATCGCTGCACTACCCCAGTCGACAATGGTGACTTGCAAGGCCCCGTCGCTCTTCCGCACCATGATGTTCTGAGGCCGCAAATCGCCGTGCACAAGGACCCGATCGTCGGTTCGGGGCAGCTTAGACACGATGAGATCAGCGCAATCTCGCGATCTGTATCGCGATTCGTAAAGATACGATGCCAGTAACGCGTGAAACTCGACGACGTTGCTGAATGCCCTTGGTGCGGAATCGCCGAACATCTGATTGCGATAGGGACCCCCGTGCAATTGACCAAGCGTGTCGTGGGGAAGCGGCAGGTGGTGGAGCTCCGCGAGATAGTGCTGGAGCAGACGGCTCACCTCGCCAAGCTCGTCGCACGTCATTCTGTCGATGCATGAGTCAAGCGTACGAGCCTGGATTTCCTCCATGCAAATCGAGGTGGACGAAAGGCTGATCAACCGAGGCACGGGTATTCGCTTCGTTTTCCCAACAAAACTCAGGATGTCAGCCTCCGCTTTGGCGAAAGGCATGTTCATCTTGTGCAGCGCACCCTCTTTTCTGACGACACGATGCATCAAACGAACATACAGAACACAATCCCTGACGGGGCTCGGCGCGGTCGTATCGATCTGCACGTCGGAATCAGTATCACGTTGGACAGCCCGGTAACAAGAATGACGTACTGGCCAAGGGTCGCAAGTCGCTCGGGCGGCCTGTGCTTGGCAGATTTGGTGATATGAGCCTATCACATCCGCCTGTGGACCACGGGGTGACGTTGCTAGAATGAGTGTGAGACGGAGAGAGGGGGGAGGACCGCCCTGGCTGGCGGCTGAGGTGAGATCAACTGTGATCGTCTACCGACGAGAAAGGTCGCAGGATGGGAGTAAGTATAGTGGCAAGCAAGGTCAGGGAATTTACCGAAGGTCTCCTCAGCTCCCCTCCCGCCGTCCGGCAAGGTTCCGATTTGAGCAGTAGCGGGAACCACTTGCTCGGCGCGATTGTGGCCCGTGCCAGCGTGGAGTGCCCGTCGTCGTTCGTGTTAGAAAATAATTCGAGCTCTAACCGCGCACCCAACTCGGGCACTCGGGAAGCATACACGAACAATTCTACGTCATCGTTCCAGTCACTGAGGCGGGCTCTCAGCAGTCCATCGGGCGCCATCGTCCCAATCAGGGATAATTTCTTTTGATTCTGCAAAGAAGTACAAAGCCAGCTGTCCGGCTTGGTGGTCAACATGGCAAAAAGTGGCCACAGTCATGGATAGTAACGCACATGGGTCCTGGCCGCAGAATGTCCTGAGCAGTACCCGCAATGTTGAGCGAGATATCACAGACAAGGAGGTGAAGGTCCGCGACATCAAGCGCGGTCGGGTCACAGTGCACGTAGCGTCGATATTGCCGGTGCGGCTGGTGACTCAGACGATTGACCACAGAATATAGCACGATGCTCAGCCAGTCGAGCAGAGGGTGGAGTAAACGATACAGCATCCTCATGGAGCAATGAGAGTGTATGAATCCTGGTATTTTTTTCCTGGCGCGACAACAAGACGGGAATGCAGGACAAAGGGGTCAACGGAGCGACGCGGCGCCACGTGGTGCGGCAGTGCTGGCTGATGACAGATAGCTGGGACCCCTAACACCGCAGCTGTCCGCAAACCCGTCAAAACCGTGGACCCTATATTTGAATCAGTGTGCAATAAGAAAGAGTTATCGACGGCAGTGGTGTCATCCCACTTTTTCCGAGGTTTGCCCACGTGAAAAATCAATTTCACACACATTGCCTCTGCATTGACACAGCTGCACATCTCCCCAAAAATGAGGTAATTCCTCTGATGACCCCTTTCGGGCACATCTTGCCTACAATGACCCCTTGGGCACAAATTCCCTAAATGACCCCAAATGCTGCCCCTAAGTAACCAAATAAGGAAAGTAGTGGCTGTGGCAGTAGAAGCACGTGCCTCCGGTCAATTCAACAACATGTTTTTCTGAATGTTTTGTTTTTAAGACAGACCTTTTTCAAAAGGCAAGCTGGTTGGTATTGCACATGGTATGCATTATTTTCAAGAACTGCTGTAAAAATCCTTTCCTTGCCATAAAAGTGCGGTGTTCTCTCACTGATGTTTACAATGATAAAAATCAGTGAATTATTATAAGAGGCATCCATGCAGAATTTACATATTGTAATATAACCAATTCAAAACAAAACAAAGCTTTGCAAATTAATTGTCAGAACACACTTTATAAACCAACATGAAGAGACCAGACCCTAGCACATCTTGAACTCCTACCACCACCTTCCTTAATTGGAAGGTCCCTGGTTGCTTAGGGCAGGCCTTAGGGTCATTTAGGGAATTTGCACCTGAGGGGTCATTGTAGGCAAGATGCACCCAAAAGGGGTCATCAGAGGAATTACCTCCCCCAAAAATAGGGGGGGCCTGGTTGTGTAACAACACCTAAACCAAAAACCCCTAACCTGACCTTAACCCCAAAATGATATAACCCTACATGAAATAAAACCTTTGATAGTAAAGTTAATAGCAATGGCAGCAGTATTAGTAAGAGTTATTATTAATTGTGATGCTGTTATTACTTTTATGAGAAGTATTAATAACACTAATATTGCTACAAGACTGGAGTAGTGTTGAGTTTCTTGGAAGTTTAGCCAGTTTTGTTCCAATATTTGATGCTATTACTATGAGATAAGAGTCTGCAGGCTCCCAGGCCCTATATGACCCATAGACAGAATCTCATCTCAACCACACAGCTGACCACATATTAGCTCATTGGCTATGTCTAGTCCAAGAGACATGCTTATGTGTCATGTCTTGCTAGCACAAATCTGCTTAAAAATGATACATGTGCTGCTCAGCTAACATGAATAAGTGGTTGATTTTTTGGGCATGGGCAAATCTGTCCATGATATTTATGATCTGGCATAACTGTGTTTGGCAGCACTGTTATGCTTCCTTGATCTGCAACAGGATAAAGTCCCTAGCCCCAAAGGGGCAGAGACCCTTGTATTCCGTAAAATCTGCCATTCCTCCGGTGTGCGGGTCCATAAACAGGAATTGGCTCCTGTGTGAACAAAAGGCCCTTCCTTCGTGCTTGTTCTCTGGCTTCTTCTGTCGTTCTCTTTTGGTAGCGCAGCCGATGCAACAAAAGTTCGTTCCTTGCCACACTGTACTCCTGCAACTCTTTGTCTGGCAGTCGCATGGCTGCAGCACGCACGGGACCCCTTTGTGGCCTCCCAACTCTGTTGTTATCATGCTGAGATCTCTGCGCATGCTAGTGCATAAATAGCTGGGCAATTTTCGAGAAACTTATCGACGTACCGTACCCCTCCCAATTGACCGCCCACCGGCATCACCGCCTGAAATTTCTCTCGGTATGTGCACCGTTTGTCTGTGCGCTTTCTGCTATGGACTGACATCCATCCCGCCAGAGATCCTGACGACGAGTTCCAATGGCCGGTCTTTTTAGCGCAGCCGTTATGAGCTTACTTCCCTCGCCACGACTTGGTGTCAAGCGGTGGGCCAACGAAAGAACCCGAATTCGAGAGCTGGTTCACTGGGTCGGAAATCAAATCGAAGAGCCCCAGAAACCCCTCGTTGTTTTGATCCGAGTCGAGGCCCCGCAATTGCAACCCCTTCACGCAGACACGGGGTACCATGTCTACATGGTCTGGGAGATGGGGCATATTCGGCAGGAGGACGGCATCTGCCGGCGAGTGGAGCGTCGTGTCCATTTGACGGGCAACGCCGGCAACTACGCTTACTTTGCGGACGACATTCGCGCTGCTGGGAATATATCCGCAGAACATCACTTCATCATCTTTGGGACCTTCACCCCTGAACAACGGCAACGCATCCTCTGGCTTGCTGAAAACGTCGACTTCAGTCCCAGATGGACGGTGAACACGTGCCGGACGTGGATGTGGCGCCTTCTGACCAGCATGGTGGCCCACGGGTTGATCTCTGATGAGTGACTTATCTTCTCAATCTGACGCCGCCATGGCTCCGTGTGTATGTTCCCGAGTAGGATACAGTGTGGGCGCATACTGTAGCGTGTGGCGTCTGTTGTCAATGTGTCAGACGCATATATATTGCTGGTATGCAACGCCTCCGTCCCCACGAGGGGTATTTATGCGGAAGTGGGGAAAGACAGATGGGGGGCGAAAAAGCATACTTCAATAGATGACCGATCTCTATGGTGACGGTGTATGGTTGTGGATGCAAAGTACAGGCGATGGATCATTAATTGAGGACATCACCAAACCTAACCCTATTCCATGTCAGATAACGACCCGCGCTTCTCTAACGTCGATGCCACGTATTC